AGGTTGAAGGTGCGTTGGTGAGACCGAAAGGCATCACCAGGAATTCGTAATGTCCTTGGTGAGTCTTGAAAGCAGTTTTCTCCACGTCACTACTCTTCATTCGGATCTGGTGATATCCCGATTTCAAGTCCAGCTTTGGGAATACCGTAGCTCCATTCAACTCATCGAGAAGCTCTTCTATGATGGGTATGGGGTAACGGTCAGGAATGGTGGCCTTGTTGAGGGCTCGGTAATCCACACAGAACCTCCATCCGCCGTCTTTCTTCTTAACCAGCAGAACCGGACTAGAATAGGGACTGATGCTCGGTCTGATGATTCTGGCATCGAGCATTTCTTGGACTAACTTCTCGATATCATTCTTCTGTAAGAATGAGTATCGATAGGGCCGGATATTAATTGGCCCCGTACCTTCCTGAAGTGTGATCGCGTGCTCACGGTTACGAGCTGGTGGAAGCTCCTTTGGCATATTGAACACCTGAGTGTATTTCTCCAATACTTCTTTCAACTCTCGGGAAGGTTCCTTCTCTGCTACGGGTTCTGTACTCAAGAAAAGTGTTATGAGTTCCAGTAAGTAAGCTTCTCCATTCTTCTTAAGGATCTTCTCCATCGACTATAGAGAGATTTGTTCCCGACTGAGATTCGGATCCCTAATGATAGTAACCCACAACCCACCAATCTTCCAGCTTAGAGTACTGCGGAGCCAGTTAATCCTTGTATCCCCGAGAGTGATCAACCACTTATACCCCAAAACAACATCCGTCGTCCCCAAATCAAAGCACAAAAACTCTTCCACCAATTCCACGCCTTGAATATCAAGCAGGAGCCCCGAGCAGCGACCCTTCCCATTGATGACTTGGCCATCGCCCACACGAACCCCAAACCCTTTTGAGTCAGACTGAGGGAGTCCCAGCTCCTTCACCAAAGTCTCGGATATGAAATTACTGGTAGCCCCCGAGTCTATGAGAACTATGACCTCCTTATCCTTGATCCTTCCCCCCATCCTCATCGAATTCACCGTAGTTAACCCCACCATAGAGTGTAATGATAAGGTTACTAACTCTTGTGGTTCCTCCTCGGTTTCCACTACCTCAGGTTCTGCGTTAGTCTCCTCCATCTCCTGTACTGTTTCTTCCTCTTCATCCAGCTCTAAGCATTTGAGCTTTTGCTTACAACGGTGACCGTGAAACCATGGTTCTCCGCAGAACTTGCACGGGTTCGGGCCTCTCGCAGTGTTGCCTCCCACTGGTTTTCTGCTCTCCCTAACATTTACAAATTCTGGAGCTCGGTTTATTGGATTTGTAATGGTCGTCGTGTGAGTCTTCTGTGGGTTTCGGTTGAAGTAATTCGCCTGATCCCCTTCTTGTGACTCGATTAACTTTGCGATGTTTACAATATCCGCCATGTTGGTGGGTCTACATCTCACCACCTGGTCACGAAGGCTCTTCCGTAGTCCCTTGAGGAAGGCGGACTCCAGGACGTCATCAGGAACATGCGGCAACTCCACCGCCAATGCTTCGAACTTTTCCTGATACTCTTCCACGCTTCCTTTCTGGTAGATACAGAACAAATGGTCGACGGAAGAACACCCACGACTCTGTTTAAACCGCACCTTAAACTTTTCCTTAAAATCCTTCCAGAGCATGATATGCTCTCTCTCTCTTAAGCTCCTCTCCACCATGTGACCGCTGGTCCCGTGAGGCAGGTGACCGCGTGGTCCAGCTTCTCTGAATCCAAGACCCCATTCATCGCAAAGCACTTTTCGATGTGAAAGAGCCAGTCTTCAGGGTTGTGTCCTTCGTAGGCTGGAAGATCCACCTTCTTCTGAGCCTGAGAGTGCTCGACACGTAGCTAACGGGCCGCCGTCATCGGAAACCCCCCTTGGAGTCTCATCTGGATCTCATCATTAGGTCGAGGCAAAAGCCCTTCTCCGCTGGCTCGATCGATGTTGGTTCCCTGAGTCAAGGGTGTGGGTTGCTGAGAACCTGGGTTAGGGATTGAAAACCCCATCGGAGTGTTGTTCGTTCCCCCGTAAGCTTGGGATCTCATGATACTGCTGAGGGCTTGGATCCACAGTATCGCCTTCTCCGTTTTATCTACCCGTTGCTCCAGAGTAGTCGCTGAAGCTGGTGTCTCTGGTACATGCATCTCAAGTTCTGAAGCTGCAGATCTGGGATCTGTATCGCCGGCTGTTGGACTCATCGTGTGACCACTCTCAATGAAAGCACCAAATGATAAGGCCCGTTGCTCACAAAAAGGATAATAACTCGAGGTAATGTAATATTAAAGAACTTAGATGAAATGAGATAAGATAAGAAGAGAGATAGATAGAGAAAGGAAGATATATTAAATGTTTGATCTTCATAAGATAAGTAACCCTAATCGGGAACAGTGTTTAAATAACATTCGCCACTACAGTAATACGACCATGCATTACAATATAACATGAAACCCTCTCACACACCGAGAGTCTTCTCACACTCTTCTTTCCTTACTTCGCGATTAGCCACTTTCGCCACTCTGCTTCTTCTCCCACGCTCGAGCTCTTCTTCCTTTGGTGCGCTTCTTCTTCTTCATAAACGCCAGTGGGATCTTGAGCCTATCAACGTCTTGTGCCTTTTAACACCTGGCTCTCTGCAAACTTTATCAAACTGACTGTTGCAGAATTCTAACCCGTTGTCTGTCCTTAAACATTTCAGGTTCTTTCCAGTTTGGTTTTCCGTAAGGACCTTCCAGTCAACGAACTTCTGAAACGCCTCATCCTTTGTTCTCAGGAAGTAGATCCAAACCCGCTTAGAGTAATCGTCAATGAAGGTAAGGAAGTACTTATTCCCTGATAAACTTGGCGTTACATTTGGTGAACCCCATAAGTCAGAGTGTACATACTCCAAAATGCTTTTAGACATATGCTTTGCCTTTTGGAAACTATGCATATGTGATTTACCCATGGTGCAGGACTCACAAAACCCCAACTGCTTCACGTCATCACCCTTGAGATAACCTTTCCTCACCAAGACATCCATGGAAGACTGACTCATGTGTGCTAACCATGAGTGCCAACGCTTTGTCATATCCACTTGTGCTCTCGCAACATTCACCTGAGGTACACGTACTGACCCATGTAGATAGTACAGGCCCTGATCGTACTTCCCTGATAAAACTTTTCTGTCTCCCTTGTAGAACTGAACCGTGAAGCCACTGCCACTGTACTTGCATCTTGACTGCTCAAGCTGCCCATACGAGATAAGATTTCTTCCCATATCTGGCATATACCTCACATTAGTTAGTGTCACCACAGTTCCATTCGGGTTGTCTATAGTGATACTCCCTTTGCCTTTCACCATACAGTATGTGTCATTCCCCATAAGCACCTTAGTCTCTTCTCATTCGACAAAATCTGACAGCAGCTCTTTTTTAGGTGTTATGTGAAATGTGCACCCTGAGTCTAGAACCCATTCATCCTCTGTAGTATGAAAACTAGCCATAGAGCAATAGCTTATGTTAGGGTTACCACATTTGCTGAATTGAACGACTTGTGTTCATTCCTCTTTCTCTGAGGACAGTCTTTCTTCCAGTGATTCTCATCACCACATGTCCAACATGCTTTAGGACCGAATTTTTTCTTAGACTTGGACCTACCTCTGTTGTTATTATTCCCTTTGCTTCTGCCTCTACAGTTTCTTGACTTGTTGTTGTTTCTCTTTTTAGGTCTGCCTCTTTCTTCAACGTAGAGCCCTTCTGACGACTGCTTCCCTTTGCCCAGTAAGCCTTTCTGTCTTAGTTCTGCTTCTTTAGCATAAGCTGATGCAGTAACCTCGCTTACTGTTAACGTTTCTTTACCTGTGCCATATTTCAGAGTGTGAAACAGAGGTTCATATGGTGGTGGAAGACTGGTCAGAAGCTGAATAGGCTGATCTTCCTCGCTTATGATGATATTTAAGCTAGCAAGATCATCTATAAGTCTCAGAAACGTATCATAGTTCTCCTATATGGTATGGTTCTCATTCATCTTGAATCCAGCAAAGCTTTGCTTCAGGTATATGCGATTTAGCAATGACTTGGTTTGATAGTCACTCTCTAACGCTTTCCACATACCCATTGCAGTAGACTCATGCATTATCTTCCGAATGATCGAGTCAGTGAGGCATGTTCCCAACAAGTTTCTGACTCTGAGATCCATAGCTTCTTCCTTTGGATCCATCCTCAGGTCTCTCACAACTGATGCAAGGCCAGGCCTCGCTTCTACCGGTGTCACAACCCCTGAAACTGTCGTCCCTGGTGTTGCCGTGCCCGTCTGCGTAATCGTCTCTGAAGCAGATGACAATGATGTCGTTGCTTTCTCCTTCAAGACTGATCTCAAGCCCTGTATCTCCAGCTGACTGAGAAACTGGTATTTCCACATTCTGAAGTCTCTTTTACCGTCAAACTTCTCCATCTCGAACTTTCCTTGAGTAGGTTCCATCGTTGATTGATCTTCTGGTTATTTGTCTCCTGCAGGTAAGCAAACAACGAGTGAATAGCAATCAACAATCCAAGATCCTACAACTACTCGAGAAGACTCCAACAAGAGTGACACGCAAAGATTTCAGGTAATGGATATGAAGAAATTTAAAACTGATAAACCTCCATGAGTTCTTAGACGGAACTCGCTTGATCTTTGTTAATAGTGACTCGCGTTGACTTCAAGTGTAATTCAAGATCAGAGGCACCAATCATATGTTGCTCTGACACAGCCCTCGTTGGCTCAAACTCATTATCCAACAAGATGCCCAATTAGGATAAAGGGCTGTAACTCCCTCTCTCGAGACATTTGTGGTCTCACTTTAAACCTACGGGTTCCTGGTTCTTTTGCTTTATTTCTGCATCCAATGCCTATTGGCTTTGGTCGTGGGTTTGAGTTTCGTTATAGGTTTACAATTTGAAACTTTCATATTCTAAATAAATGATTCAGTGTAAAAAAAAAGAGAATTTCTGTTTTTTATAACTTGTTATAAAGGTGTGAGTAGTCTAATCAAGTGAACGCACCGTGTCATGATGCATTGCACCATTTTGTATTATTTACAGTTTACAAGGTTAAACAATTTCAAAACTCGTAAATAAATGTCTAGGGAATTTTATTACTTCCCAAATTTCATTATACAAAATCTTTCAAACATAAAACAAAACAAAATATCCAAATTTTTATTACAAGATTAATTAGAAAAAAAAAAGCAAAAAGAGTTTTCAAACTTTGAAAAACTCCAAATGAATAAAATATATATTATGAGAAGTATATTTGACTTCTCATTTCTTCTCATTGATTCCAAGAGTGTTCTTGACACCATCAACAGCACCTTGAGCCATGTTCTTCATTGACTCTCCAGTCTGTCCCCCAAAACATTAACACAATATATTAGTTATAAAATATATAATTAGCAATATGGTTTAAGCATTAATCAAAAATTACCTGTTGGATGAAACCAGAGGCTTGTTGTTGGCCATGTTGAGCAGATTCTTTGGTGGATTGAGCTGCGTTGCAAGTCTTTTCGCGAACGTTGTGTGCAGTTTCCTTAGCAGATTCTGTCCATTGCTCGGCCTTCTCCTGCAATATACCCAAACCATACATTATTACATAACCAATTCATCTTTATATAATTTATAAATTAACAAAACAAGAAATGGTATAAGAAAGAAGATACGTTAGCTTGGCCCCTGGTCTGTCCAGCATTGTACGATTGTTGCAAGTTCGACATGATTTTATTAACTGTTGTTTTTTTGGTGCTTAAATGAGCTTTGACTGATTTTTTTACTTTTTTGATGAAGAAGTGTATTTATAGTGTTCGTATTCACATAATTTGGATTGTAGGTTTTGTGGTGAGGAAAGTAACGAGTAAACTTCGGTGGAGAGATGCATGGATGGCCATGATCTATATATGTTTTTGACTACTTCTCTCTTGTTTATTCACCTTTTTCATTGTTTTTTACAAATAAAGAACCAGTAAATTGCATAACCAATCAATTTACATATGCTATTTTTTAATGTTTTCCATAATGAGATTTTTCTCGTATAATGTATTGTCATGGAGCTTAAACAACGAAGGTTTTTTATTATCCTTTCCTTGATACAACTAATTTATTTGAGGCCCATGAAGATTCCGATTCAAACTTCAAAAGGCCCATTAAGCCCATAATTGGATTTTCTCACGAAGCAATCTGAATTCCGATTATCTGAGTTTGAGCTCAACGGCGATTTCGTCATTTGATCATTCCTCCGCCGATGTCGCCAAGAAAGAGGAAGAGGAAGACGACGACGAAGCATACGTCGCCGTTACTCTCACCGACGACGGAGTCGAACTCAATTCCGTCACTTCCTGATGACCTAATGTTGAGCTGCTTAGCACGCGTGCCGAGATTGTATTACCCACGTTTCTCCCTCGTCTCCAAGAGCTTTCGATCTCTCCTTGGCTCACCGGAGCTATACGAGACCCGCTCTCTCTTACGGCGCACCGAGAGTTGTCTCTATGTGTGTTTCCAGTTCCCTACCGACTCTAACCCTCGCTGGTTCACTCTCTGCCGGAAACCTAACCTATCACAACGGTAAGGTTAAGGGTAAGAAGAAGATGGGGCCAAGTGGCAATCTTTTGGTCCCAATCACACCTCCCTGTTCTCGTTTTATCTCCCGATGGTTCTGCCTCGTCGCGGTTAGTTCATATCTCTACAAGATCGGGGGACCCATGGACGAGGATCCGGGTCTGCCTTCGACTAGCGTCTCGGTCCTAGACTGTCGGTCTCACACGTGGCGTGAGGCTCCAAGCTTGCCTGTGGAGAGGAGATTCCCTTGTGCCTGCGTCGTTGATGGAAAGATTTATGTACAAGGAGGATTCGAAGATGATGATGATGATAACTCGATGGACGTGTTCAACGCAAAGACACAAACTTGGGATCACGTGCAAAGCCCTAGCTTTGAGGTAGATTTGGGTCGTGTAAGAGAAAGGGCATGTATTGATGATGGCAAGTTCCACATGATTCTTGAGAACAATAGCGTTGCTTACGATCCAAAGGAAAGTAGATGGGACTTGGTTTGTCATACGAGAGCAAGACATACTTATTATAATGAGGCTGAATCTTTTAGTGATTGTGTGGCTACTTTTAACATTATGTTTGATGGTTATTGTGTCTTGTGTTATTAAACCTTTTTTTGATGGATACCTTATTTTGTGGTGCTAAAACGACTATGAAACGTTGTTCGGGCTGTATAAAAAAAGGTTAACCAACTTCATAAGCTTGAATGTGATGAAATCATTCAATGATGCATAGTACCATTTACCATTTTTTTGTAACCCGTTGCCAAAAGTTGTATGTAGCTGTTTTATGAACTTTTGCAATATCGTATTTGCATAATTGGATACTTATTATTTGTGCAAATATATTATTAAATTGTTTCTTTTGGCTCAATTTAAAATAAAAAGGTAAATAGAAAACACAGAGATATATAACTAGAGATTTAGGTCTTTCTGGCATGTTGCTTGGGCTAAAAGTTATTCAATCAAGAGTCTTTATGGAGAGGAGAAACATTCCATGGGATTTGATAGAAGAGATACTCTCTAGGGTTCCGACTAAATCTCTGGCACGACTGCGATCAACATCGAAACAGTGGAACGTTGTGTTGAAATCTTGGAGATTTGCTAAGAAACACTCAGCTTACGCACCAAAGGGGGAGTCTCTGAGTATCATGTTGATTGATTCTAGGGTTTGCTTAGTAAGGATCATTAATCTCCAAGGATCCATTAATGTTGTTGCTCCGTCTGCTAAAGTAGCATACGAATTCAACCTTAAAGATCCACTTTCTAATTCTGATTCATCACAAGTCGATATACGTCGCGTCTTTCACTGCGACGGCTTATTGCTATGCACCACAAAGGAGAATAGACTCGTCGTTTGGAATCCATGTTCAGGTGAAACCAAGTGGATCCAAACCAGAGACAGCTGCAAGGAATCTGAAGTCTATACACTCGGCTACGACAACAGTTCTTCCTGCAAGAAATACAAAATCTTGAGGGCGGATCGTCGTGATCCAGTCTGGAATGGGTTTGAAATCTATGACTTTGCCTCTGATTCGTGGAAAGTTATTGGTTCTACCAATTTTTACTTACAACCAAGTCATCGTGGCGTGTCTGTGAAGGGAAATACATATTGGATTGCTCTTCATGGTGATTTCTTGCTAAGTTTTGATTTTTCAACAGAGAAATTTCAAAGTCTGTTTCTGCCTCATCATTTTCCTTTTCTGAATGAAATACTGGCTTTGTCGGTGGTTAGAGACGAGCAACTTTGTCTGTTAGGCACTTCTTACACAAATTCAAGAGATTTACTTGTATGGGTGACAACTAGTACCGGACCACTCATGACATGGAGCAAGATCCTAACATTCAATGTCAGTCATGAGGTAGGTAGGTATGGGTCGATGAGTTTCTTGGCCGACGAGCAGAACAAAGCTCTAGTGTATTGTAGCCGACATCACCCGGACCACAACAAGATCTTGCATATTGTGAGAGGAGATAAATACACACAAGTGGTTCCTCATGATCCAAATTCTACAATCACATCATCATCTAAACCACTTCTTCTGAACTTTGTTCCAAGTTTGGCTCAATTCCAATAAGGTACACTTCTTGGGGGACTCGAAAGGAAACGGCAAAGCTTGTGATTTATATTTGTCTCTTTGCCTTGTATTATTTAGGAACCTAGGGCGATTACATTTGGTGATACTCTTTTCTCTCATCACTTATTATTTAGCTTATCTTCTATGAAGAGTTAGAGAGAGAGACCTAAAACAATTTTGCTAGATTGATTCTATGATTTTTTTTAGGTCAACCAGAGGTTTTAAGTTGAACATAACCACCCATATTATGAGTCTAATCTAGATGAACATAGTTTACAAAATATCATTTTGTTTTGAATGTGATCTATTTAGCACCAATGTTAACAATCACACTCAGAACCATTACACAATGGGGCCTCACACTCAAAACAGAGTACATACTAAGCACGGTGAGGACGAGGGAGAACATACTGCAGAGAAGAAGAAATTGTTCAGACCACCTTGATACCATGGGAGATAGTATCTACGAATATCCTCCATGTACTCACTGCATCCATTAACAATCAAGATGCAACCATCCATACACTTGCCATCTTCTTCGGTTTCCTTGCGAAGACTAAACACATGCGTCCTCAAGTTTAACAAGACAAGGGCTTTCTGGTTCCTACTCCACAAGTAGATGATCTCAGATTTCAAACGATGCATCACCACAGGGAAATAATCATTACCTAACTTGTTCAAACTCAAAAACAGAGTTACACACATCAAGCACGGTGCGGACGAGGGAGACGGTGAAGCCAACGAGGGAGAACATACTGTGAGAAGAATAGATCATTAGTACCACCTTGATACCACGGGACATAGTCTATGCTCTTCATATAATCGGTGCACATGTTAAAACTCAAGATGCAACCATCCACACATTTGCTCTCATATTCGTACTCCTTGTGAAGACTAAACGCAAGTGTCCTCACGTTAAACAAGATGAGACCTTTCTTTCTCCTGCTCCACAAGTAGATGATCTCAGAGTTCAAAGGATGCATCACCACAGGGAAGTAATCGGTACCGAACTGGATCAACGACATCGGGACGATGATCTCCCAAGAGACTTGCCACGCCTCGGGACCATCCGTGTACTTGACCAGCCTCCAGACCCGTAACGTGCGTTCTCCGTTCTCACGGAACTCGTTGAGATACACAATGGACCCTTCAGAGGCTGTGAAGCTTCTCTTGAAACGCCGTACCTCGTCGTCTTTACAAGGAAAACGTACGGTGCGAGCACCACACCCATCACCATCATGACCTCCTCCTCCATAGAAACCGTAAGCTATAATGGAGTTTGTGGAAAGCCAGTGAAGAATCCCGTTGAGAGCAATCGATCTCTCTTTTCCAGCCAAGATTGTGGAGTGGAGATCACGCACGTTCTTGATTGTTTCCCACGTCCCTGAATCGGATGAGTAAACCATGAAATCGAGTTTATCAGAGGATATCCAAAACCAGACCATCTTGTAACTCACGACGATACCATTCTCCATCTTCGTCACCAATCCCGTGTCGTTGAAATGGTTGTTCTTCCTTAAGAAGTCGAGATCTAGAGAAGAGACGAGAGAAGGAAGAGGGATACGAGACCATTCCTGCAACAAAGGGTTCCCGATGTAATACGAAGGGGTTTCATCGATATCCTCTGTGTAAATAGATACCAATCCATCGGTGCAGGATAACACGAGCATCTTCGTGATCGTCGTCTCGGCGAAGAAACTCGGGAAAGTTCCTGGAGAACGATCGAGTCCCCATCTCTCGCATCCACGGTGACCCACGATCTCCAGCGACCATTTGTGTGGTTTGATTTGGATGATTGACCAGGAGACGGAGGAAGATGAGTTGAAGGAGATGTAGTAATCTCGGAAGAAGTCGGAATCGATGAGCGATCTCCATTCTCTGCTCATCAATCGAAATCTCGCGATGCTCTTCAATGGAAATCGCGCCAAGACATTCACCAATGCCACTTCTGGAAGATCCATTTTCTGATTTAGGGTTCTTGATGGACTTTTTAGATTTAGAGAGAGTTATCGATTTTGCATTTTCCACTCAAGAAGAAGAAGTACAGAGAACAAATTGATTGAGACGGTTTAATTGTTAGTCTCTGTTCTGTTTTGTAAACCGGAATCTTTCACTATAAAATAATATAATTATAATAAATAAGTTTATGGTAACTACATGATGAATAACATTAATTTGCTACAAATTTGATCACTTTTGTGAAAACTTTTATTGAGTTTGCTAAATTGGGCTTAATCATACTTTCCTAAAAAGTTTTATCAAGCAGATAGAGATTTTTTTTGAACCATATTCTCCTAAAAAGTTTTTGATCACTCACTCACAATTTGAAATTAATTAATCAACAATTACAGAATTCAGCAATAAATAAACAAACATACAAAAATACTTATCGAGCCTCTTTGTTAATTTCTACTCCCTGACTCATATAAGTTGGTGACGGTTCTTGCTGCTACACTTTGATGATTTTCACACGAATTTTTTGAATATGTAGTAAGTAATATTTTTGAAGTTCGTTCTTTGGGTTCTGAATTTCTCTTGGTGATTATAACTTTATTAATGATTACATATATTTATATAAGTGTATGCTTGGTTTTATGATGTTCAAGGGTTTTTAGGGTTTAGGTAAGCTTTAACACTTATCAAAATAGCGGTCTATTTTGCTAACACAACCAACACAAATCTAATGTGTCCAAGAGAGAAGATGGGTATGTAACAATGTAATCTATGTAACAATGTAATCTAAGTTGCAAGACGGATCAATATTGGTAATGTGATACAGGACATAGCTTTCTTTGTCACAGTTTTTTCCTTTTTTTTTGGGTTGGACTACACGTCACCTTAATGTGGCAAATAGGTCAACTTTACACCAATGTGGAAAATATCTACAAAATTCAAGGAAAAAAAAAACTCATTCTAACCTATTTGTTAACATTCGTAGATCAAAGAACCAAATTAAGTTCTTCATGGTTTGTGGCTTTGTGCTTGGTTTAACAAAAAAAAGTTACATCTCTCGTGTGATGATATTGCTAGTTACGTGAAGCACAAGCATCATCATCATTACAAACTAAGTAGGCTGAGGACGAGGGAGACGGTGAAACCAACGAGGGAGAACATACTGCGAGAAGCAGAGATCGCCTTTACGGATGTTGTCTATGTACTCGCTGCACCCGTTAAAACTCAAGATGCAACCATCCACGCACTTTCTCTCACATTCGTACTCCTTGTGAAGACTAAACACAAGTGTCCTCAAGTTAAACAAGACGAGACCTTTCTTGCTCCTGCTCCACAAGTATATGATCTCAGAGTTCAAAGGATGCATCACCACAGGGACATATTCTATACCGAACTGGATCAAAGGCATCATGTTGATCTCCCAGGAGAGCTCCCACGCCTCATGACCAACATCTGTGTACTTGACCATCCTCCAAACCCGTAACGTTCGGTTTCCGTTCTCATAGAACTCGTTGAGATACACAATGGAGCCTTCAGAGGTCGTGAAGTTTCCCATGAAAGTCCGCATCTCATCATCTTCATCTGGAAAACGCATGATACGAAACTCATCGTTATCACCATGACCACCTCCATAGAAATCGTAAGCTACAACAGAGACTGTTGAATTCCAGTGAAGAATCCCGTTCAGAGCTATCGAATTCTGTTGTCCTGCCCAGATTGTGGAGTGGATACAAGGCACATTCTTCGTTGTTACCCACTTCCCTGAATCAGATGAGTAGATCAAGAAAACGATGTTATTAGCGGACTCAACGGGTGTAAACATCCATACGATCTTGTAGCTCACGACGACACCTTTCTCCCTCTTCGTAACCAAACCAGAGTCGTTGAAACGGATGCTCTTCCGTAAGGAGTCAAGGTTTCGAAAAGGAAGAGGGATACGAGACCATTCCTGCAACAAAGGGTTCCCGACGTAATACAAAGGTGATCCATCGATGTCCTCTGCGTAAACCAATACCAATCCATCGGTGCAAGATAAGACCAGAACCTTCGTGATCGTCGTCTCGGCGAAGAAACTCGGGAAAGATCCTGGAGAACGATCGAGTCCCCATGTCTCGCATCCATGGTGGCCAACGATCTCCAGCGACAGTTTGTGTGGTCTCGTTTGGATGATTGACCACGAGACGGAAGAAGATGAGTTGGAGGAGATGATGTATTGATCTCGGAAGTAGTCGGAATCGATGAGCGATCTCCATTTTCTGCTCATCAATCGGAATCTTGCGATGGTCCTCAGTGGAGATCGCACCAAGACACTCACCAATACCAGTTCTGGAAGAACCATTCTTCGTTCTTAGGGTTTCTTGAGGGAATTCTTGGATTAGAGAGATAATTATCGATTTTGCAGGCGACTACACAGAAGAAGTACTGAAACAGTAAAAAGATGAATGATTCAGAGAAAGGAGATAACTATCGTTTAGCGGCAAATATGAAATTATTCAACCAAACAACTAAACCAGAAATCAGATATTTAAACCAAGATATTACCCGGTTCATTCTGTCATAAGACAGATTGATTGATCGGTTTAACTAAACCATGTATTCACTCTTTGTTCTGTTTCAACCATGTATTTGATCTCTTGAACAACATGAGAGAATCTGCTAAAAAGCTGAAAGCTCCAAGTGCTCTTTACATAGACCACAATCACAAAGCTCAACATCGAAACATGGTTCTGATACCTGATTGAAATTTGATGTCATTGAGGGTTCAAGCTCGAAACAGAGTACGCACACATCAAGCACGGCGAGGACGAGGGAGACGGTGAAGCCAACGAGGGAGAACATACTGCGAGAAGAAGAGGTCATTAGGACAACCTTGATACCATGGGAGATAGTATCTACGAATATCCTCCATGTACTCACTGCACCCATTAAAACTCAAGATGCAACCATCCATACAACACTTGCCATCTTCTTCTTCGGTTTCCTTGCGAAGAGTAAACACATGCGTCCTCAAGTTAAACAAGACAAGGCCTTTCTGGTTCCTGCTCCACAAGTAGATGATCTCGGAGTTCAAAGGATGCATCACCACAGGGAAATAATCGGAACCTAACTCGCCGATCAAAGACGACTCCAAGTTGATTTCCCAGGAGAGTTCCCAAGCGTCAGGAACAACATCTGTGTACTTGACAAGCCTCCAAACACGAAACGTCCGGGTTTCGCCGTCTTCGTCGTTCTCATAAAACTCGTTGAAATACACAATAGATCCTTCTGAGGTCGTGAAGTTTCTCCTGAAACGCCGTAACTCATCATCTCTACCATGCTGAGTTACCTCATCGACTTCGCTCCCAGGGAAATGTATGCTACTACAACACCCATCATCGTTATCATCTCCATAGAAATCACAAGCTACAATAGAGCTCGCGTCGAAACAGAGTTTATCGTCAGAGAGCCAATGAAGAATCCCATTCAAAGCAATCGATTTGTCTTGCCTTGCCCAGTTCGTGGAGTGGAGACAACGCACATTCTGGGTTTTCTCCCAGATCCCTGAATCAGATGAGTAAATCATGAAATCGAGTTTATCAGAGGACACATCTGGAGTCAACATCCACACGACCTTGTAGCTCACGACGATGCCGTTCTCCGTCTTCGTTACCAATCCAGTGTCGCTGAAACGCTTGCTCTTCCGTAAGCTCTCGAGATCCTGCGGAGAGAGAAAATGAGGGAGAGGGATTCGAAACCATTACTGCAACAAAGGGTTTCCAATGTAATACAAAGGCGATCCGTAGATATTCTCTGCGCAGATCGAGACTAATCCGTCGGTACTGGATAACACCAATAGCTTTGTGATTGTGGTCTCCGCGAAGAAACGGAAGAAGAATCTGATAAGTACACAATCTCAGAATGGGTCAAGATGGGCCTATTTAAGGGTTTGATTAATTATTTACTAATATGTTGTCGTTTTGGTATTGTTCGTCCTTTAAGAGGAGAAACACTTCTTTGTAAACGTTCTATCGAATTACGATCATTATCAATCAAAGGGAAACCCGATTTCTTCCTCTCTTCTTCTCTTCTCATCGTACTCTTCCTCGATCTCCCTCCATTTCTGTCGCTAATCCGATAAGCTCGATCCATGAGCTTATCAATGGTATCAGAGCACAGCCTTCTTCGCGACGTTTTGGACAAGGCTCTAGAGCTGGTATCCCAAATGTTGCAGAAGTTTCAGCAACAGAAGAATGAGGCTCAGCAAACTGCTAAGCCAGAAGGGCCGAAACCAGTGGAAAACCCGGATCTGCCTTTGAAGGACTCCGCTGAACAGATGGCTAGCGATAATCACTACGATGCTTCTGTCGAGATTGATTCACAGATAGCAGCGAGAACAGCAGAAATTCGTAGATCCAGATTCACACAAGGATACTACAAGGTCCGCAAAAAGGAAATCAGATTTCGAGGAGAAATGGATATCTCAGTTACGCCAAGGATTTCGACGAGACTCTTAGGTGTCCAGACCACTAGGAGATCATACCACTGTGAGAAGAAAGCAACACGTCGTGAGCTTGTACAGGCCTGTCAGCGTTATGGTATGTTCATCGATTCCCCAGAACTTAGAGATCCTAAAGAGGATAGGCGGAACGGATTGGGAAGGAGATTGATCGTTGATACATGCCTGAAACGAGAATCTCATCTCTTTAGTTATGGGATTCAAGCACTTGAGCCTATAAACCACCTTAGCCTTGATGATCCGATTATGTTGAAGGATAGCAGAAACTCAACTTATGAGGATCATTTTACTAAGCTTGTTGAAGAATTGGAGCAAGACGACCTCTACTCTAAACTTGCTGAGAAGCGAATGGACGATTTGAGCTTTGAATTGATGACGCCTGAGACTGCAACAGAGGCTCAAAGATCTGGTGTTAGAGAAAGAAACTATAAGTTTTGAAAAAGACAAATCGGGAAAGAAGACCAAATCAGTTCAACCACATTTGAGTCCAAAGCTTATGTGAGATCCCCAAGGCTGTTCTTAAGAGTGAACCAGAGTGGAATGAAACGAAGATACAGCAGTGAGAAAGGATCCAGGATGAGAGAGGCAAAGATTGCAACATGTTTGACAAATTATGGTCTGCCTTTCAGTTCTCCCTCATCAGCGAATTCTAGAAATTGTCACCAGAAAGTGCAGCAAACACTAGGTCATAAGTCTCTTTCTCAAAAGAAGAGAAGACAAACTACGGGCATATTTTGTTATGGAGTTTGCCAACAGGATCCGTTAAATCCTGATAGTCATGGTAATGAGATGATGTTTGAAATTCAGAGAGACTCACTGGCTATAAATAACATATTCGCCAAGACTACTCAAGTTTCAGAACCTGAACCGGAAGAATTGAAGCTTGCAAAAGATGGGCGGAGTCATGCAAAGCTTAGTTTTGGTGGAGTTGACATCAGAAACCTAAGCCCAGATTATAAGGGATCAACTCGCCACATGATGATTAAGGTGGAGCTTTCTTCAATAGTTGCAAATTCACTCTGTGAGAAGGCATTAATGGGATTTGGAATGAGTCAATTACCAAGACTACGTGAGGCAGGAGACGTGGATAGACTCTTGTTTTCAAGTGATTCTTTTCCTCAAGAAATTACTGAAGGTCTACGCTCTACTCATCTATCTCAAGTTAAACGTGTATGGGAGCCAGGAGGAACAGTTTTAGGCCAAGCTGATTGGCCAGAGAGAGTTCACAGTGTTGAAAGAGTACTGAAGCTTGTGGGTACATGGCTTAAGGTTCAATTGTGCATGGACATTGATGAGACTATCAGTGGCGATGGATCTCTTAAATTAATGCAAAGAGTTCACAAAACTGGAGTTGGGAGAGTATCACAAGAGTTTTCCCCATCAGAGGAGGTTTTGGGTAAAAGGCCTCATGATCCTGGCCGTTTTAGCAACCGAAACAGAAGAGGGGAACAATCTGAGCACATGGAGTTAAATGAACTCTCACAACTTTCTTTATACTCTATGTCGGATGTAGTTATGGAGCTCTATGAGCTAAATAAGCTGAAGCGCTATAGAAGTGTGGAAACGTGTTCTGGTTTACCTGAAGATGTTATGGAAGCGAATAGGGGTATCGAAGCTCGCTCAGATTCATGTCAAAAAGCCAGGATGGTTAAGTCTCCAATGGACCTTAGTAGAGCTATTTCAGGAGCTGTCCCGGCCTTCCCTAGCACCTATTCACCTTGCGGACAAGGTGAGTTTTCCAAGGGGGAGTAATAGTCTTGATAAGGGATTGGGTTGTGATACGGGAAAGATGGGGATTTGGGTTGATGAGGATGATAAGGGTGACATGAATAGTTTCTTAAGAGATACTGAAATCAGACTAGTCTTGGTGTTAGAGGAATGGTGCCTTTTGCAAACTGATGGTTACATACGATCAAAGGACATGAAGATGCGTCATCTGACTTGGCTGAAAATGAGGAAAGTGGGGAGACACGGCGAGTGGAAAAACGTGGAATTGACGTTACATCACAAGCATGGCCGCTTACTGAATTTGATATCCGGTATATTGGATGAGTATGAAAGAAACGTAGGGAAGCTGCAGTTTGAAGGACATAACATGCAGATCAATCAAAACTTTTCTAAAAGGGTGAATCGCATAAAGTTTTCAGCAGCAGGGCAAGGTGTTAAGTTCTCTAGAGCTGTAGATGATGCACAAGAAGCTTCGATATACAAGACCAGGGTGGAGCAACGGGAGAACCCTACAACTACTTTCCTCACTTATGAAAGGCTTCATTCGCCAAGGCCACCAGAATCATCAGGCAAGAGGAGGACAAAAGCGTTGGGAGGTGTCAATAAAGTGGGGAAAAATCACAAGAACCTTCACCAGCTGAAGATTTCAGGTACAATGGACTCAATACTCAAAGCTTGTGGAAACTCGCTGCAAAAATTTTAGTAAGTCGATTCTGCAATCTTGAGGACAAGATTGTTCTTACGGAGGGAGTATTGATAAGTACACAATCTCAGAATGGGCCAAGATTGATTAATTATTTACTAATATGTTGTCGTTTTGGTATTGTTCTTCCTTTAAGAGGAGAAACAATTCTTTGTAAACGTTTTATCGAATTACGATCACTAGGTATTTACCGTGCTATGCTGCCGGATATTTTTTTAGATTTTATATATATTTTTAATATAATAAAATTATTTTTATAATATAAATAATTATTATATTTATTTTTTATTAGCTTAAGTTATGTATTTATATGTTTTAAATCTAAATAAACATTATATATCCTTAATTTTTTTTATTTTTCAAAATTATAATCTATTATCAAATTCGTTTAGCTAATTATCTGTAAATGTATATGTAAGAATAAAACAATACATTTTTAAGTATCTTCATGTTAATGGCAAATGTAATCTATTTTTCTATTAAATTGTCATTTGATCCTCCTTTGAAATTATATAAAGCAAATTATCATTTATTTCCCGCGAAAACTAAAAAATCAAATTTTCTCTCAAAAACCAAAAAATCATATTATATGTCAAAAACTGAAAATTTGTATTTTTCATCAAAACTAAAAAATTGTTTATTCCCGCTAAAATCGAGAAATTTTGTTTTCCTAGTAGCTCGAAAAATTGTATTTTCTGCCAAAATTGTCAAATTATAATTTTCTGCGAAAACTAAGAAATTAAAATTTCCCGTGAAAATCAAGAAATTACATTATCCATCAAAAGCCGAAAAATTGCATTTTCTATTAAAACCGATAAATCGTATTTTTCGTCAAAATTGAAAAGTTGCATTTCCCTCGCATTTTCTCGTCAAAATCATATTTTTTTTTTCTCACCAAAACCAAAAATTCACATTTTTCCATCAAACCCAATAATTCATTTTTTTCCACCATAACGAGAAATTAGGTTTTCCTCCCAAAACTGAAAATCACATTTGTCTACTAAAACCAGAAAATTTTCTATTCACGCCGAACCCAAGAAAATTTATTCTCGGTAACCATTGGAAATGCGAATCTCTAAGCTGTGGTGGTCTGAGTTTCTCCTCATTTATTTTCGATTTCTTTTTTTTGTAAACTTTGAGCTTTTTAATGGATTAGCAAAATAGTAAACTGATTTTATTAGTGTGTTAATAATATGTATTATTGTTATGTTTTTATTGGTTCAAATTTTTGCTGATGTGTGAGCTTCTTATAACATAATACTTTTTGCATTGTTGTTATGGAAACATAGTTGAAGATGAGTCTACACTTTCTTATATACGTCTCTATCAAGTAAACACATAGTTAGAAATTTTTAATTTTTTTTGCTGTTATTTATTATTTGCGTTTCGGTTTGGCAAAAATATAAAATAAAGATTTAATTTTTTATTTGTTGTTATTTATTATTTAGATTTGAGTTTGGCAAAAAAAAACAATTTTTTGCTATTATTTATTATTGGGGTTGGTTTTGGCCAAAAGATAAAACTAAAATTAACAATAAAAAATATTTGGGATTTTAATGGGTTTAAATTTAGAAGTTAAAATAAATTGATGACTTATATTAGTGAAATGTTTTGATTGATGTTTTTTTTTGCTAAAGTATCAATTTATTTGAAAATGCTGATGTGTCAAATTATACAGAGACACTTCGTTGTGTTGATTATCAATCAAAGGGTTTATTCCCAATTTCTTTCTCTCTTCTTCTCTTCTCATCTTACTCTTCCTCGATCTCCCTCCATTTCTGTCACTAATCCGATAAGCTCGATCCATGAGCTTATCAGAATCCTGGAGAACGATCAAATCCCCATCTCTCGCGTCCATGGTGACCCACGATCTCGAGTGAGAGCTTGTGCAGCTTTCTTTGGATGATTGACCAGGAGACGGAGGAGGAGGAGTTGAAGGAGAGGTAGTGATCTCTGAAGAAGTCGAAATCGATTAGCGATTTCCATTCTCTGCACAGCGATCTGAATCTCGCGATGCTCTTCAATATATAACCTCTTTTGTTCAAGCATTCGTGTCTCTCCGTTTGGAACTCTTTGAGGTGTTGTCTCACTATACCCATTTCTGCTGTCTTCTTCTTCGCTTTCGGTCAATCCAAATGAAACCCAAAAATTTTGGATCAAATTCGCCAAATGAATTTCTTCCAAAACAAACGGAGAACCAGAGAAGGAGAGAGTTCCAAAACTATTTTTAAAAATATTTATTTATCAAGTACAATTGTGATTCATGTATATATATAACATAGAGAAAGAAAAAAATCAAACAAACAATTATCCTAGTTTGATACTCTAACAGGTTATCATTTTTTTCTTATGGTAATAAGTATATTGCTGGGAACATTTTAACTTGGCTATAATCATCAACAATTACAAAAATTCAGTAAAAACAAAACAACAAAAACGCTCTCTCATAGATAACCTCTTTTGTTCAAGCATTCGTGTCTCTCCGTTTGGAACTCTTTGAGGTGTTGTCTCACTATACCCATTTCTGCTGTCTTCTTCTTCGCTTTCGCTCAATCCAAATGAAACCCAAAAATTTTGGATCAAATTCGCCAAATGAATTTCTTCCAAAACAAACGGAGAAGAAGCAATAATAGCCATGGATCATGATGCTCGGATTTACAGATATGGCAATAAAGAAGAAGAAGAAAAGGCCATATATGCTTTTAGAGAAGCTTGCTTGTCCTTCTTTTGGACGGCCCTCCTGGGAACATCTTCATGATCCAACCTAGAACTCTTTCTACCACCTAAAACATAGATATGATTCATGTGTGAAGAGTTCATTTTTAAGATCCAAGTTTAAAAACTCTCTGAGAGAGAGAGAGAGAGAGAGAGAGAGAGAGAGAGAGAGAGAGAGAGAGAGAGGGGTAGTACCTCATCGCCTTCATCTGCAATCGGTGCTCTCTCTTGAACAACATGAGAATCCGGCTGCTTCTCAGGTGAAACGTTGTCTATAGCCATGTTCTGTGCTGTTAGAAGCTCTACCCTTTGAGTCTGCACTTCAAGTTTTCTCGACAGCTCTTTGTTCAGCTCCTATGGTTAAGAAACACGATAAATATGTAGAAACTTGAGGAAACACGAGAAAAACATTAAAACACTACTTCTAAGTTATGACACACATCCAGAGAAAATATGGACCAGAGTTAAAACAAGAATACAAAGAAGACATGGCGTGGGATTAAGTGCCTACGAGGTGAGTTCGGAGGTATAATTCTAGCGAAACCATATTGAAAGCATGTTCAGAACTTATAATTGATGTTATGGTGACAGAAAATACTTGCTGAAGTCAAAGAAGACACGTTTCTAGCTCCATGAATGTCAAGATATTTCGTTTATGTTATCGTACCTGCACCTGCGCACTTCGAGATAACTCAGATGACAATGCTTGCACCAGTTCCTCTTTTTCAATTGCCAACTGCAGCCAAAGAAGGAAAAGAACTGTCACATTATCATCTATATTGAGAAATAATGGCACCTTGAGAATTGAAACGCTATTGCTTCTCGCAGCTAAAGAAAGCATTAAAAACAGGAGACAACATAACATAAATAATACATGACTATTACCTCAGCAATCAGCGTATTGATGTTATGAATCACTCTCATCTGATCAGCTGGGACGCTCAGTGAAAAGCCTTCAAGAGTTAATTGTCCAGTTTCAGGAATGATAGCTGAATCACTTTCGAGCAGAGCAGTAGAATCTGTTTCCTCGTTGGAGCTCCCTGGCATAGTATCTGAGATTGCTGCACCAACAAAACAAAGACGAAAAAGGATAATATATGAGTTTAGGCATCCAAAATATGCTTCAGATTTCTATAATAGTGCGCATATACTATTGTGCTTCTATAGAAGGACCATTACCGAGACCTTCTGTAGAGGTTGATGCGTTTTTTCTGCTACTAGAACTTTTACCGAGATCGGTGGATTTTCCACCAGAGGAAGCTTTCTGCAGCATAGTCTGTAGGATTTTCTTCTCTGAAAAGGAAGATGCAGCAGACTATAAAATACATACAGAACTTATAGAGTCGCATTACTTTTTACAGGAACAGATCTCAATGTGTATACCTTCCTGAAGAGCTTTAATAGTAGACTGTAAGTCTTGACGATCTTTCTCTAGGCTCTGTAATTTTTTCCTGTACAAGTTGATGGGTAAGATGAAGTAAATCCAGAAAGTTACAGATTGAATCCTTAGGGGGCTTCCAGTATGCCGTTGTTCTTTTTTGTTTTAAACATCAAGTAAAGGTGAAGATACGGGCAGGTATATAACAATACAGTCAAGAGCATACTTGTAAGATGACATTTCAGCTTGCGCATTTTCCAGTTCCCTCTCCAGCTTCAACTCATTAGATCTGAGTCTGAGTGCCTAATATATGTTCCAAGAAAAAGTTAACAGATGAATATGAGCAACTGAAGGTAGATGGAACAGATATCTTACAGCTTCAAAAAAAACTAAACTTCTGAAAATGTCATTGCACACTTTCGCAGCTAACTGAGTTGAAAATGTAGCTTTTTCCAAAAAAAAAAACTAATGTGATAGTAAGAAACATCCAAAATTTATTACCTTATCTTCCAAACTGATGACTTCAGCAGCCAGAATTTGAGAACGCTCATCTGCAGCATTACATTCTAGCTGCGCATTTGAATACTCAATCCTGAAAGATTCAAGTTCCCCCTGTAAGGAAACAGTGTTAATCAACTAACACTTTTCGAATAATCTCGACAATAACTCGGGCGGATGAAAGAACATGACATAGAGATACTCATCCAGAATCATACTCGGGCATAATCAAATTGTGAGTCTCATAAGTAAACACCAAGGAATGTGATAAAATATGAATGCAGCAAAATGCAATATCATGCTATACCAAAATATACTGTTGGAGTACATACAACTGGAATTTATTGAGTATGAGTAGTTGGTACTAACCATTTGATCTTGGATCTGTTGATTTAGCTTCTCTATGTCATCTTTTAGTTGGTTGACAATACTTCTCTGGACGAAATAGAAGCAAAAACATTATTACACAAATCATTGGGAGCATTTGGGACTATTATAAAGGTCAACACTAAAGAAGCTTAGTCAATGCCAATTACGGAGACATCCTAAAGAGCCTTAATTCTTTGTTTTCACAACTTTCTCTGTCTCACTTGTGAATGCAGCAATGATTTCATAGACTAAAAACGACTTAATCAACAGCATGGCCCTTTAAAGTTCTAAAAAGATACTCAATCCACATCCGTCTAAATCATGAATTATAAATATTCTAATATTTGCATCTCCCATGGATCCCGACACCACATGACAAATAATTCTGGTGAACAGGAGCGATAAATGCAAAAAATTAGCCAACTTCTATATATGGTCAAGATTGTATTCTTAGTATGCTGGACACTATCCAACTAGGGTGGCATAACTCTTCATGTACCTGCTGGTTGTAAGTGTCTGTCATCGAAGAATTTTCAGATGCTAAGGATTCGGCCAAAGCACGTGAAGCATCAAGATCCCTTTGCAGTGAAAACTTTTCTTGTGTTAAATCCTCAATATGCTACAAATAGAAATATGAAACCATAGCTCAGAAAATGCAAAGGAAAAAGGGCGTACAAAGAGGAACAATGAAAGCTAGCCTCCTAGAGTAAAATAAAAGAGCAATCCCCGACAATGTCAAAATACTATGAACCACCATCTAGAGGCATCAATTCAAAATTCGACACTTGTTCATCGTCATATATCAAGCGATCAACTCCCACTTGCTTCTTCTAAATGAGAAGACCATACCGGTTCTCTTGTTTACTCAAATCTCAAAACCAACCAAACATAACCTTCCAACTATTAAGTGGCATATCGACAATAACATTACCAAAATAACAGATGATGCAAGAAGTCGGTATCTTACCTGTTCCAGAGCAGTAAAATCATCATTTTGTTTTGGCATGGAGAAATCATTGAAACTTGGCATTACTCCATTGGCAGCAGGAAACAAAGGACTACGGTAATTTTCAAATGGACTAGGAGGATCAGGTGCTCCGCTTGTCAACGGTGGTCCATTACTGTCTCTTCTCCCTGATATATATTGGAGTGGAGATGTTCCATAACCATCACTGCTAGTTAGCCGGGAACCACTGGACGTAACAAAATCGGACTCAATCTCAGGATGTTGATATTGAGTCTCTGGAGCTCTTGAAATATTAAGGGAATCAAGGAAAGACGGACGAGACCTCTTCACAGTTGCTTCATTTTTAGCTGAATGAAACGGTGAAGGGCTTGTGATATCTACACTGAAATCTGAAGATCCAGAAGGTCGAGATGATGTGTCCGGAGAACTAAACAAATAACTGCTAGACAAAGTTGGCTTCTGCAAAAAGCTACCACCTCTTAGTTCATCACTTCCCTGATCGCTTTTGGCAACTTCGTGTATTGACCCTGCCATTCTCGTAGTAGGTTGTACAGAGTCTAGCAACAAAAACCGTAAAGAATGATTAGGTTGTTCCCTTTAACGAACTGAAATTTGTCAAAAATTACATTACTTCATCGATCTCACATGATAGCCACGTACCTTTTCTGGATGAGATTAATCCACTGCCATTCATGAACCCGTCCATTTGCATCGAGGTTGAAAGCAGATTGTTTCCAAGAAAAGAAGATGTGCCTTTGGAAAACCCATCACTTTCTCTTAGAGTAGAAGCACGATTGAAACTATCACTTGGTTGCTTCTCTATATTGCTATAAGGTACAACTTCAGGCCTATTATTATTCACTGTTAAGTCATTTGAGGAACCTCTCAACTCTAAGCTACTTGAAAAATCGACTGCACCCACTGATCCCTGACCATCATCTCTCTGACTTCTTTCTTTGCTTCCCCCACCCAATGATAAATTATATACATCTCCAGAAAATGAGGACTTGGTATGGGTTTCATTAGAGAAAGCTTGATGAGTCTCAGAAGATTGCTTGAGAGGAGGTCCATTAGACATAGATGCAACATCTCCATCTGAATCTTTGACACTTTGCTGGCTGTTATCAACAGTCTGTGATGCCTTTTTGGCTCGTTCTGCTGCTTTTTGCTTCCGGAACTGCTCAAGCTGAAATCCAGAAATTACACACAATTTTAGATACTAAATCAATTGGCACTCATCAATTTTAGATGCAACAAAATTCCTTGTTCGTAAGATTCTAATTGCATGTGTTGGAACATCAATCTCAACTCTAATATCAGGAATTGAAACGGCGAGCAATGATTAGATAAACCCAGATAAGAGGATCAATGACTCATTACCGACAAAATTTTAGAATTCGAAAATTCAAAGAAATTGAACAAACGAGGATTGATCTATCTACCTTACGCCGTCCAGCTTCAGCGACCTCCTGCCTCCGCGAACTAGGCTTAACCTGAGCTGATGCCATTGAAGAAAAAACTCGAAATCTCGCAAAGGGGAAATGCCCCCAACTTCCTCAAATCAATGCTTTTTCAATTACCATTTGATTCCATTAACCCATGCCATTCCGAAATCGCCGATTATAGAGAAGAAACTCGTCGCCAATGTTGTGATTGAACAGAAACTCGAACCAGGAGCCAGATCCCGACGCGAGGATCGAGAAGATATTGATAAAAAATTGTGGGGGAAAACAGAAGATCTCGAGAAACAGTTCAAAAAATCGAGGGAATTGTCACCTAAAAACAAAACTCAAAAATTTAGGGTTTTCAATCTGATGCAGAGAGATGCCGAGAGGACAACGTTTGTTCGTCGGAATTATTATAAATTTGGTTTCCTTCTACGCCAGATCTCTCCCTCTCTCTCTCTCTTATTTGCTCTTTCCTTTTTTTTTCCTTCGCTGCTTTGAACGTTTTTACTTCTTTTTTTTTGGGTTGCAAAACTTTTTTCGAAAGTTCATTGTTTTTTTATTTTTCTAAAATTGAACGGTTTGGTAAGTAAAATTAAATTCCATTAAGAAAAATGTACATTGACAAAGTAAAAAAAACAAAACGATAAAAAAAAATTGTATGAATTGTATTTGTATTTGTCCATAATTGTTTATTGTTCTTTTTCCAAAACGTTGAGCTTGTTAATAAAATTAGTAATGATAATAAAAAAACGGAGACAAATGAGTCGTGATGGACACATATCAACGACATGACACGAATGAAAAACAAAATAGAAGAACATATATATGGCCCGTGGAACATGACGACAGACCACCAAATAACTTCATTATTAAAGAAAAGGTTTATTAAAATGAAACAACAGAAACTTTCATATTCCTAAACTTTAGGACGATTAAAGAAGCAAAAGTATTGAAACAAAATGAAGCAAGGTCAACCTTGTTGGTTTCATCCAGGTGTGTGTTTAGTTTGATTCGGTTTATAATCGGATTGTTTGGTTAAAGAGAAGTACAAGCTACTGAACTAAAAGTTTAAAACCAATGTTATCACGACTCACGAGGGATACTTTCGTGATGATGTATTTATGTAGCTAGTTGTACGTATCTCTCGATAGCTATGTAATTAGGCATATGTATATATTTTTTTAATCAGATTTGTGAATCTCTAGAATCTCATGGGCGTACCGATGGTGGTTTTGGCCGTTGTTAGTTAAGCAGAGTCCGGTTCAGGAGAGAACCAAGGCAATGAAGAACGTGGCCGAATCAGCCTTGACCAAAACCGGTTCGTCTCATGCCGCGTTGACTACTTTACCTCCATCGGTCCTATTTTTTATATCCAGTTAATGGTAGAAGCCAGAAATTAAGTTCCTAATGTAATAACATTTGATCTGAAAAACTATAAGATTGGGTGTGTCTCACCTAAGAATGACGCTGACGATAACATCAATTTTGATTTTTTTTTAAAAAATTTGTATGAATTTATAAAATGAATCGTTTTTTTCTTTTTTTTGTTAAAATTTTTTCATTAAAATTAACGATTCTCAAACTCTAAAATAAGAGGAAAATTTACAAAGGCAAATTTGCCAAACACAAAGGCTAACAAAAGATAGATTGAGAATACAATTCATCAATACCAATCATAAGAAATTGAGAGTAATCTATGATCCTATAAAACTTTTGACTGTATGCATCCAGAACACTCAGAGGTGCTTTAAGCTCTGCAACAAAGGCAGGAGAGACAACAAACCAGAAGAAAGATCCTTGCAATACTAGAGGGTCTTGGACATCCAAATCACTTATCACAAGTGAAAATTTTGGAGAAACAGAAGACTCCATAAAGAAGAAGACATGACAGAAAATCCAACAGAACCATATTCACTAAAGATAATAAATTCTTTAGTAAAAATAGTTCAACCTCCAGAAATGCTATGAAGCAGGAGGACAACATTGGAAACACAGATCTGACGCTGTAAGATGATAATAGTGAACTCTTCACAAGAGAGTAAATGATCTCCAAATGGGAGTAAATGATCTCCACGAGGGAGTAAAGGATCTCCACAAGGGAGACGAACTGAAACAAAATTACCAGAAAAAGAAGACTCCGGCGTGTCTGGCAGATCCGGGGGGGTCAGGAGGCTCCAGCCGTGGAACAACAGGAGGAGACAACGCCGAGAACAGCTTTGGGAGCGATGCCCCCTTCACCAGATCTGAGGAGATCGACAAAAGACAAGCCCAGTCATGGTGTAGGGAGTTCAACAAAGGAGTCATGGAAGCAGGAAGGGGCCACCGGAAGCTGAGGAAGGGGCGGAGCTCCGATCTAAACACGCAACATCCCGGCTGGAAATCAGAAGAGCTCAATGCCACTTGAACAGGGGCGGTGGAATGGGAGACTAGGTGGGGAAGGCGGTGAAAAAGAAGGCAGAAACTCCGGCTCGGGTTCTATGATTCCGAGAGGGGGGAGCAGCATCCTTCAGGTGGAGATCTGAGCGGAAGAGGAGGGTTGGCAGTGGCTGCAGCTCATCTTGGGTTCGTCGCGGGGGCACCTCGGGGCTCGGGCCTGAGAGAGAAACTGCTAGGGCGAACAACAAAAAAATAGATGGTTGATTTTAACAGCGACAATCGTTTCTTTTCTTTATACTTTCAAACCTCTAGATAAAAACATAATTTAGGTTTCAGAAATCAAAGCGATATAAGAAAATTTGAATAAAGTTAGCGTCTAATCTCTTCTCTCTTATTCTCTGCTTTCTCTTTGTGAATTTTCCTTTGTGGCTCTGTGTGAAATCAGTTCACAAATTTATCAGTTTTCTCGATTTGCAATATGAATGTTCTATCGCCTGGAATCTTCAAATCTGTATCCCGATTCTGAAGCTCCTTCCTTTATCCAAAATCCATTTCTTTAATTTTTTTCATCTTCAAATTCTCACTGCTGTAATCAAAATCCAATCGAGTTACAACCACAATATCATTACCATCATTGAATTCTTTGCCGGAATCTGAAATTAAATCCGGTTTTAGGTTGGAGAAGTTTGATTAGTACGCGAATTGGTACCCAATGATGCAAATTTGCGATCTAGACAAGAAGGTACCACACAGGAAAAAAGTTATGGAGATTGATCTTGTGGTTTGGTGGGAGAGGAACGAGAAGTAGTGGAAAGTGATGGATGACATGTGTCCTCATCGTCTTGCTCTGTTGTCCAATGGAAGGATCGATCAGTGAGGTAGATTACCGAAAAACGGCCATATTCACCATGAACTAATTAATCTCTAATAATCCACATATGATCTATGGAGCAATGCCAAAAACTATATAAACTATATAAAAGTTTGAATTTCCATCATGAACTACAAAATTATGGTCGAAACCACCAACACTGTAGACGTCACTTGAACTGTTAGCTGCTGATGACTGGACGCCACGTGGTAAACACAAAACGGCGTTGTTTTACCTTGTCGAAAATTAACAAAAAACTATCGAGTCTTCATCGTTTCTGATTTTCTGGTTTGTGGAAAAATTTCACAATTTCATATCTTAGAACCCTCGAAGTAATAGAATGATGTTTGGAGCCATGAGTAATGTATCAGGGGCTTCGATTAAATCATCAATTGGTCGGCCAAGAAGCGGAAGAGTTGTGGGTGTGCCCAGAAGATGTTGGTGTGGCGAGGAGATTATTGCTTTGATATCCATATTCGACAAAAATCCTTACCGTCGATACTTCTGTTGTGGTTATGCTCTATCAAAGAAAGTAATATGAATTACTTATGATTTATTGGCTGTGATTTCATTGCTTGTGATTTTTATTGATGTGTTTTTTTTTCAGCTTATGAATGATAATCATATATTCAAATGGGTTGATGAGGCACTCTTAAACGAGATTGAGACATTGCAATTCAAAAATGCAAGACTTGAGCAAGAGTTGAAAGAGATTACAGCAGACCGTATGGAGTTTGAAAAGAAGGTTTTTGAGAAGGTTCAAGTGAAGTTAGAGAATGAGATATTGGAAAGGGTTGAAGATTTATTGGTTGATGTGAATTGTAGCATGAAAAAAACAATGGTTCTTGTGGTCATTGGATGTATAATCCTTGTTGGATGCATGAAGCTAGTAAGTTGAAGAAGATGGTGATTTTATAGTTTGTTGTTTGTAATTTGTTGTTTGTAGTTTGAACAAGAGTTATGCAATGGTTCTTGTGTCTTATTGGTTTAAATCGTGAATGTATCTTTGTAATGTTTGTAGTTTGTAATGTTTTCCTCTTTGTCACATTGGTTCAAATTGTGAATGCATCTCCTTTTTATATTAAACAAGGGTTGGTTTTAGAATCTTAAAAACTGCAGGTTTTACAAAAACTGCAGGATTTCAAAAATTACAGGTTTTATCTCCTGCATTTAATGGTTTGATATCGTTAAAAGAACACCATATAAGATCATAACATCATTAGCCATTAAACAAAAAAAATACATTAATCCATGAATCCAAAACAAAGTAAATCATAAAGCCAACCAAAATACAATTCAATAACATCCTAAAGTATTTTAATCATTTAAAAAAAAAAGTGTTTCTATGAATCCAAAACACAATACACCGCCATTATAGCCTACTAAAATAATCGAACCATCAAAAGTCTCAAAAGCCTCTCTTAACCAGATATTATCTTGCAAACCAAAAATGAACCACAAACAAAAACAAATCAAAACCTGAAACAAAACCAAATTAAAAACCTGAAAGTGAAACACAAACCTGATATTAGTCAATCACTTGACTTTGCATTGGCTGATTTGATCCCTCAGCAATATCAGATTGAGCTTCAAGCACCTTCTTCTTTTTTGGTGGTTGGTGAAGAGCAATTACAACATTCTGACACTTTCTTGTGTTATGTCCACTTTCTCCACATCTTCCACAATAAATGATTCTTTTTTCTCTTGAAATCCTTGTTGGAGACGGATCCCTCTGTCTTGTCTTCTTCTTACTTGGAGACTCATTCTTCCCCTTGATTCTTTTAGGAATTTTCTTTCTTCTTTTTTTTGGTTCTGTTTCTGTAACTGGTGCCACAATCCCAACTTCATCAGTCTTTCCCCAGAAGTTTAAACCACGTACAACCTTAATTGTTGTACTATATTGACTTCTCCACTTAGAAGTCATATAACAATTAGCCATATAATCCTCTTGCTTGCGCTTCTTCCCGGAAATCCCCTTCAAAGCATGACGACAAGGCAATCCTGACATATCCCATCTTCGACAGTCGCAAGTGCGATCAAGCATGCGAACCTCGAATGAGGAATTTTTCTTTGTAACCTCATAAACTTCATGACCAGCAGGAAATACCTTACAATGCAAGATCTTTTTCTGCTCCAAATCGACTCTTTCCATTGCTTTTATACTAAATTTCCCTCTATGCTTCATTGCCTTAAGCCTTATGGCTTCAATACGCAACATTGCTCTTCTCTGTATTGTCTCCAACATTTCAACCAGAGGCATGTTTCTTGTAGGGTCAATGGCATTGTTAAAAGACTCAGAGATGGTGTTGCTTACATCATCACACAAAGATACTGCTGTGAAATAAGCAAGGCTGCAATTTTTGGGATTATTCTCCATCATAGAATTGCAGACATTCATATGATACGCCTTTACTTCATCCACCCTTTTTATGTATTGTGGTCCATTGTAGCTCTTTGCAACCTTCCAGAATAGCCGTTTCATGTCAGTTCTGTTTGGGTGTTTCTTCTTTAAGTTTGTATAAATGTGTCTTGCACACATTCTATGTTCAACCTTTGGTAAGAAATCTGCGACAGTATTCAATAATCCCTGCAAACAATCCCAAATAAAGTTTTAGAAATATGCGGTAGCATTCAATAATTTTTAAAACTGTATGATAATCATGAAATATATAGTAAACTAAACTCATGAATACCTTTTGTCTATCTGATATAACTGTAAAGCTATCACCATCTTTAAGATCCAAATTTACTTGCAACTTCTCAATGAACCATCTCTAATTGGGTTCATTCTCAACATCAACAGCAGCCCATACAATTGGGAACATTTGGTTATTTGCATCTCTTCCAACAGCTGCTAGCAACTGCCCTTTTATTGTGCTCTTAAGGAAACAACCATCAAGACCAAAGATGGGTCGGCAATGAGAAGACCATGTTTGCTTCAGTGCAGCAATGAGAAGACTATGTTTGAAAGACATCTGCTCCATCATCTCCCTGAAATGTCTCAAGTTCGATAGTGGATCCCTCATTTGTTCTAGAAAAACAAACACAAACAACTTTTATAACCGAAGATAAAACATGTAAAAACCAAAAGATGAAACATGTAAAACAAGAAACTTACTCTATAAGCTCTAGACGGTAGTCTCTAAGTCTTGAGAACTGTAAGTTATGTTCCTCTTGGATCATCTCTAAGGCTCTTTTCTTTGCCTTTCTGCACTGGTCTATCGATGCAATCAAACCCCAACGCTTATGAATCTCATATTGAATAGTTTTAGCATAAGGTCGGATCATCTCTTAGATCATCCACAGACAGCCTAGCGGTGACCTCTTGAGAAATAGCTTAGAATGCCAAGTCTTCATGCAAGTATGATTCTTTTTGTATACTTTAACCAACCATTTTTTGTAATGGTTCTTTATAAGAAAAGTAAATCTTCCACATACAGTTTTCTTCTTCTTCTTCAGCTTCACTTGCACATTTAATTTCAGAATTTTCTTTCTCCAAGCGGACATATATTACATTCCATCCCTCCTTTAAGACATAATCGACCATAGCTTGCTTGAAATCTTCTAAACTGTCAAAGGATTGTCTTAACTTCAGCTCACCACTACATTTCTTGTATCTGCAATAACCCTCTGCCATAGTACCAGCTTCTTCATCATTTGAGCACACATATGTAATATACTCATCAATTTCTTCATCAGTAAATTCTGCTATATTCCTTTCAACCCTTGCTTCTTCATGAAACTGATGCTCATCACTTACAACTTGAGTATCTTGCTCAGTATGACCAGTCTCTTCGTTCTCGATATCAGGCTCGATAAATATATCAATTGTTTTGGTCCACATTGCAGCTTCGCACATCTTCTTAAAGTTTTCATCACCATTACAATAATTTTCGGTTTTCCTGTTCTTCAAAAAGGAGCTTATACCATACTCTCTGACCATACAAACTCACTCGCAGATGATTCATTAACTCTGTAAAGAGTGAAGAAGGGTGAGCTTGAAGAATCTGATAACCACCACTGGTGTAAAGATCTCGGCCATCAACACTATCAAAACTTGCCACCATAGAAACAACCGAAATTAATATGTGTGTCTACTTGAGGATCACTGCAGAAATTAAAAAAAAAAACAAATTAACTTCTCTGACACATTTAATCAAACACTTGGTGGACATATTTTAATCTCATTCTCTAATCATGAAAATCAAACAAAAATGGCAACACTAACTTAAATTGTTGATCCTAGATGAAACTAACATACTTCGCCATCTAAAATCTACTAAAAACTAAGAATTTCTGAAAATCACACTTCATTTACCTCATTGATGAATTTTCAGATGGGAAAACAATTAAAAATATCCAATGCTTTTGGCTTTTCTCAAACTCCAAACCAACGCCTTTGTTAATCAGTTTGAATCGACGTCCACCTAATTAGAATAAGCTTAACTCTCCAAACTACAGTTTTTCAGTTTCTTGTGAAGAACCCGACTCTCATACCCATGAAAAAGAAAAAGCATAATTTGAAGCCAGAGAGAAACGACGCCATTTTGGATCTGTTACAGTTAATTTCTATAACAACGTCGTATTGAGAGATTACGTGGCGTCCAGTCATCAGCAGCTAACACAGTGTTGGTGGTTTCGACCACAATTTTGTAATTCATGATGAGAATTTAAACTTTTATATAGTTTATGTAGTTTTTGGTATTGCTCCATATGTAATATGTGGATTATCAATGATTGATTAGTTCATGATGTAATTGGCCGTTTTTCCGGTAGATTACAGTGTGTCTACCATGGATGGTGCTTCAACGGATCTGGCGATTGCGAGCTCATACCTCAATAAAAAAAAATATAATCTCATTTTTTTTTTGAAATTTATATAAATCTTGAAGATGATGAATGTCAAATAGTGAGTGAGAGTGTTTTTTTGCTCTTTTTATGGATTTGCATTCAAAACCAGTAATTGAGAAACGTGATTAGAGATTGCGTCCTTTAAGGATGGAAGATTATCGATATTTTTTTTTTATGTTTGTAGCTGTTGTGTTTTTCTAACTCAAGTTTCATTCCAATATACAACGACGTTCATCTAAACACAGTAAGCCAATTACTTGAAATATGGAAAACACTCAGCTTTGTGCTCTTCGAGAGTCTAATATATCCCCTGTGGTATAAACTCAATCTCTTATTTGCAAGTTACTTTTTTCTTTTCTAGCAAGCGATTGAGATGACCATATATGTTCTGTGTTTTTTTTCGGTTTCCTCAATAAGAAAATCAATCTTCAGATTCCAGTTGAACATTTCAGACAAAAGACAAGTAGTTGATCATTCCAAGATAAGTACACATGTTCAGATCTCTTAAACTTCTTCATGAGTTACAGTCTCTCCAATCAATATTCTCTCATCTTTTTGGTCCAAAGTTTTACTTTTATAACTGCAAATATTCTCTATTTGGCGTTTCTTGACGTGTCTTAAAACAGGCCTCTTCGGCAATCTCTGTGATGTTTCGTAGTGTTTTAAAAGAATTCTTTTGTGATTAACGTGATTTATTTCAAACTATTTTTAGTTGATGTTTCTGTATTCTAAGTCTTGCTGCAATTTCTTGTTTCTTCGCAGTTCTCTCGCACCGAGGAAGGAGTGTATTAGTCACTGGTGGTGCTGAATATATCGGATCACATGCTGCATTGAGGCTACTTAACTATTCATACCATGTAACCATTGTAGTAAAGCTTCTTTCTTTGATGGTGTTTTGCAATATGTTGGGGCAGTTAAGTAGTCAAAACTGCAATGTTCGGTTGAAAAATGAGAATAATGTGCGTCTCTCGCAGAAGGTGTGTGTTTGGTAGAGATGTGGTTTATTTGCATTTGTTTCTTTTCTTGTGGTGAAAATTAGTTCTCATGGTATTGCTTATGAATACAGGCCAGTCATGCAATTGCAACATCTTTGAATGTCATCCAAACATCCCATTCTTATGGGGACTTGATGCTACTCAACAGAGCATCTGAGTTAAAGCTGGTACGTGCAGCTCATGGAGGTTTTGCTCATCTGTATGTTCTTTCTTAGTCTCATAGTTTCTTCAAAATTACTCTGACCCACAGTTGAAGCTTGAAAATAACTTCCCATGTCAGAAAGCAGTTCATCTTGTTGATTCATCTAAAATGTTATGTTGCATGAGAACCCCTTTAATTACATGGTTGAAATGAGGAGGGTTGACTCGGTAAGTTTATCATCTACCACCACAAGTTTGATTAATTACATGAAGGAGACATTTATCTTCGGCTGTGGTATTGTCGAGTACACAAAACCATGGATAAACATGTGGAACCTCATTATTTTGATAGTGTCCTGTATATAAGCTCCATCAAGAGAAGAAGTCCATTATACATGCCTGTTTTTGTCTCCCTACTGATCACGTTTCTCTGTCTTTGTTCCTTTCAGCTATTCCATGTAAGCAGCTTAGAGGCTGTGCAGTTTTTGGATACATTTTCTTCCATGAATCCAGACTCGAGGTAATGACTTTTCACAAGTGATATACCTGTTTTGGCATTCCAGTTCTCAAAAGATTGAGATTTCCCTACAACCTCAAGAATGTTATCCTTTCTGCAGTGGACGTGTTACGCTACATGACTTTCTTCGGGCTCTTAGACTGAAGCTTTGCACTCTCTCTAAAGGGATCAGTTATGATTATGCTCTTATCATCTTTTATCGTCGTTTATGCCTCGGGAAAATTACTTATACAAGCGCACTACTGTAGATATTCGGATCAATCACTTTCAGAAAGGTAATTTCAAGGGATCTCTCTACAAAGTAACATGTCGTATATGATTCAGTCGTCTTCATGGACAAACACACCGTTTGAAAAAATTTGTAGCATATGATCCCTAATGTATCTTCCTCTTCCATTGATTGGTCTGCAGTTCTTATTTACCTCGGCTCATGCATCGGCACAACCACTTTTTCAGCAAACATGCGAGCAATCATTCTCACATTATGACGTATATGGAGATGGCTATATCTCCATTCAAAAAGTAGATTTAATTCTTCACCTCTTTTATCATATTTGCTTATGGGTTCTTATATATGACTTACTCTTTTCTTTATCTTTGGCTCAGCTTGGAGACGCGCTGAAACATAGAATCCCAAACTTGAACAAGTACGAGGTAAAGTGTATTTGGGAAAGATCCAAATCTTTTGAAATTCAAATCCAAATCTCTTTTACTTGGGAAAGATCTATAGCCTAACGAGTTGGATATATCTCATATTACAGATTCAAGGGATGTACATTTCGTTAGACGAAGACAAAGATCAAAGAATAAGCAAGAACGACTTATTGTCCTCCTTAAGAAAAAACCCTCTTCTCATAGCTATCTTCCCAATCGAGAGTACAAACACGGACTTGCTTATATGTAGAACATGTACTAAATTAAAGAATTGGTCATATATACATGATAGACTTTTATGGGGTTATTCATGAACATGACAGACTTTTTAGCAACAAATATCTTTTTTTAGCCTTTATAATAAGAAGTAAGATAAATTATTTGTTTTTTTTTCTAAAGATACATTAAATTATTTTAAAACTTCATTTATACATTTTCAATAGAAATCAAATTATCTTTCATATATGTTTTACATATAAAATTCAATCTTAATAGAGAACTCAACACATTTAAACTATATATGTGGTTTCATTACTTATTGATTTACTTTACTAATAGATTTAGTTATACTAATTTCACTTTGAAAATTAGATAAATACACAAAATAAAACATTTAAACTCATCACACATCTATTAAAAAAAAATCCCGCATGTAAACGTTGAAATTTCAATACAGATTAATACTTATAAACAAAAATGTCCAATGTATGTGGTTATGAAGTGTGTATTGAGAATATTAAACATTATATTCTTTAAATTTCCAAAATAAAAGAAAGGCAGTGAAATTATAAATAATTTTCAAGTAATGAATAAATATATATAATCAGATGATGTAGGTTGAAGCAAATAAAAACAAACCGATCAAAATAGATTAATGTTTTTTTTAAAACAAAACATATCAAAATAGATTAATGTTTTCTTAATTCAATCTTTAGAAAATTGTGCTACAAAATAATTAAGAAAAATTGTAAAATAAAGATATCATTTTATAAATAAAATAGAAAATACTTTATATAAAAAGAAATTCAGTTAGCAACTTTTATCGGTTTATGACATATAAAGTCAAATATTAGATATGAAATCAAATCTAAATATACACGTTAAACCATCAAAAAATATTTGTTTAGAAAATATACACATACCAATTTAAAAAAAAAATTGTAAAAGAAAAACCCATATGCATGTTATATGATATTGATGAAGGGAAAATAGCTCGCTAACTCTTAAATACTTAATTCTTCATACTAAAATTTAACAAAGAAATGGAGAAAAAGAATACATAATAACTAAATTTAATTCTTACATATGTATCTATATACGGGAATTTACTAAGTTAATTTCAATAAACACAACTTTTCAGGATATTTATAAGTCTTTCATATAACATATAATAGTTTTTCATCAACTTTTTCAAGTCTCGTTACAAATAAACATAAAATTAAAACTGAAATTTGTTAAAAGATACACACATGATAATATAGACTGATCATAAATACTTAACCCAGTTTGAAGCAAATTTGGAGTGTTTAAATAGATGAAAAAGCTTTCTTCTTTTTTATAAGTTTAAGAAAAAAAATTCAAGAAAATATTTAGTATGAGAAATTTAAAAATAAAAATAAAACAACATGTAAAAGTATAAATGAAAGAAAATGTAGATTAATTTAAACAATATTTATGTATTACCATAGTTAACAATTACAAAAAAATTATTATTATATTTAAAATAAAATATTATATTAATGTTATATCTAAAAATATATCATAAAAATTAAATATATATATTAATAAAACACAATTCCATTATATATATATATATATATATATATATATATCTTCACTTGTCTTCGACCAAAGTCATTTATATATGTCTGAAATTGAACGGAGAGAGTATTCAGTTTTGGTTATGCTTTTCTTCGAATCTGCAAAAAGTATCCATATTTGTACACATGATCTCAATTCTAGAACCATGTTTGTTTTCAATCTTTTAACTATGCACCATCGTATCCGTTTGTTAAAATATTGTCGAATTTTATAATAACAGCTAGCATCTGTATCTGTTATAAATAAATTATACTCCCTTCTTATTATAATAAGTTTCATTTGAAGAAAAATGTATCTGCATTGTAACTGGATATATCTGAATGTGTTTTGAGTTTAATACATCTAGATACATTGCAACTACATTTTCTCCAAATGACACTTATTATGAAACAGATGAAGAGTATATGTTCAGATATATTCGTATATTAGAGATATACTTTAGCGATATAGCTTATCCCCTGTTTTACCGGACAGTCGTGCTCCGTGCTCTTGCACCGTGATCAATTCAGAGAAATATTCAGACCTACATTTAGATTTACAGCATCGTTTCTTAATTAGCTCTCTACTCATTCCGTAAGTGAAAACACCAATTTCTGTTGAAAACATGGCGAATGTGAATACTACTGGTGGTATATGATCTTCAAGTTTACACACACGTTGCAATGCAATCTTGTTTAAGGTTGGGGCACCAGAGATTCCATATGCTACCATTTACAATGACTGCTTTGAACAAGAGATGGAGGAAGAAATCCACAAAAGGCAGAGAAGAAAGAAAGGCCAAGAAACTTTGATTTTGATTTATTGTCATGATAGATTTTGGGATTGCATTTTATTTAATTTCCATCTTGAGAATAATGATCATGTATAAACAAACTACACGCAAAGATTCTTGAAGCTCAAGCAAAGAAAAACTTCAACTGTCAATTTATGTGCGTTCCTAATCATCAGAGAGTGAATCCACATAAGCCCTCATGAGACGTTTGTACTCACCGTAAACTCTTTTCCTCGATAACTTCTCCATGAATCCGTCCCAACCATCAAAGGCCCTGGTCAATCGAACCGTCTTAGGTTTTCCCATCAGAAACCTAATGTAATCCCTCTCAAGCTTCACCGATTCCTCCCCATTGATAACGAAGAGATACTGCAGGAAAAATAAAGAAACAAGATTGGATCAAAGCAAGAAAACACTATTAAGTTTCAAAATCTTTTTTAGAAAGTTGCGTCTTTTTTACCAACAAAAAGAAGCTTAAGGTTGCTAAAACCACTTGCAGGGTTTCACCAGAGACTTTGGGACGCCCTACACCTCCTCCTGGACCTCCTCCTCCTCCACCTCCTCCACCTCCACCTCCACCTCCACCTCCACCTCCACCTCCACCTCCACCTCCACCTCCATCACCTGGACCACGTGGATACCACTGTCTGTATATAGAGACTAAGCCCCACGCAATTTCTTCTTGCGATCTCTACCCTTAGTCCTCGAAGTATATTCATCCATCATCTCCTTACATTTCTCGGCTATTTCCAACGGTGAAAACTGATAACAAAAGTCATTGCAACAATCATTAGACATACAGGGAACAGAAAAGTTGTGCCCCTAAGTTCTTGGAAACATACCGTTCTTTTTCGCAAACTATCTTCAATCGAATTGTTCCGCAGATCCAGAACCTTGCTTCCATGTAACAGTGTTCGACCTCCTGAGAGGCGAACTCTGACTAGACATTGACGCACTTGCTCGGAGAGTGATTGGCGCACGAGGGTGATAATCAAAGCGTAATGACGACGACCTGATAGGTACGCTGGAGACACGATTCGGTCGAAGAGCAACGCTCGTAAGGGCAAGGGCAACGCTCGTAAGGGCAACGCTAGTAAGGGCAACACTCGTAAGGGCAACGCTCGTAGGAGCAACGCTCGTAGAGGCAACGCTCCTAAGGGGCCTAAGGGCAACGCTCGTAAGGGAAACGCTCGTAAGGGGCCTACTAAGGGCAATGCTTGTAGGAGCAACGCTTGTCCCTATCCCAATGCTTTGCATTAACATCTTGACTGCCAAAAAAATAAAAAATAAAGAAAGGCTTGAAAGATGATCTTCTGAGCATGATCAGAATTTAGTGAATACCAAAGACGCTAATCCGAACAAATCTATTGGATAATCATATCGCGTTAATGTAACAATAAGCAATTGTAGTTACCAGAATTCAGCAACTTCTAGGCAATAATAGAATAGAAAGGGCACTTGTTCGGCGATCCTATGATATATAGTGTTATTTCCATTATACTATTACCACGTTTTCGAATATTACCACGTTTTCGAACCTCTCTTACCTAGTGTTATCTTATTTCCATTATACTATTATCATTATGCTATTACCATATAAAATTTTTGAGATTCCATCATTATTGGTTTATTGTTTCTTAAAATCTTACTACAATCCATTATTATTGGTTTAAAGATTTTAAAATTTTATTCAAAATCTTTTGTTATTAAAAAAAAATGGCTTTTAAAGATTTTATGATTTTATTAAAATCTTATGTTATTCGGATATGAATTTTAAACAATTTAACTCATAGAACAAAATTTTGGAAAACTTTCAAAATATTACCTATATGGCTTAGATTCTCAAAGTCATTATAATAAAATATTTTTATAGATATTATAAATAAACAAACTCTTTTCAAAGTTAACAAATTTTTTTAACAAATTTAACAAATCTCTCAACTTTTAAAATCAATCAAAAATTTATAACTCCATTTCCCAATAACCGCTCCCTAAGATTCAAGTTTAGTATCCCTTCCTTCTGTTCCATTTTATAAGCTGATTTAGCTGGAAGCACAAACATATTAAAAAAATACAAAAACTTATATATCTTCTTCACATATAGTAAAACATAATCTACTAGTACATGATTAAGACATACGTCAACTATTAATAAAAAAAAATAAACACTACGAAAACCTTCAAAACATTTTATAAAAAAGGAACCAATTGAGTATATTTTTACTGTTTCAGATATGTCGGTCGTTTTGCTAAAACAAATCTGAGACCAAGAACATGTTGCTTTCGTTCATCATTGAATATCTACAAGACTAGCTAGTGCCTAGCACTAGTAGCTACAGCTGTGTTGTAGCGGTCCATCAGAAAAATTCTCTTCAATCTCCTTACATTAAGTGTTTGGCTTTCATGCGTGGACAAAGAAGCAACCATTATTAACTTCGCTTGCATAGCAAGAAAGGGTGAAGTTTTCTAAGTCGTGACTGTAATGGTGAAGAAGAAAACGATTAGGTTTTGGTGTATAAGTAACAATGAACAAGAACAGTTCACTGAAGTCCTATTTAGTAGTCGTGAGTAGGTTTAAATGTACGAGTAAAAAGTAATATGATTGGTTATGTTTTTCATTAGTAAGTTCATTTCTGCCCTGATGTATGTAAGTAAGGAACAAAACAAATGATTTTTTGGGGGTCTTTTTTTAAGAAGTGAATTTCCACCAAAAAGAAACATGTGTTTGATTACAAAAGCTTTAGAGCAACAAATGCTAAGAGATTGTGTGATTTGTCAATTTTGGTTGTTACTTTTGCGAATTTTCAAAAGAAAATCAACTTGTGAATTTTCTTTGTCGTAAAGTGAATCCATTATATCATTGATTGGTCCATGTGTCATTTCCTCCATAAAAAAGTTTTGGAAAATCTCTCAATCGTCGGCTTCGCAACCAAAGAGCCGTGTAAATCTAAAACATATCATCGACATCATCTTCCAATTTCACATTCTTCTTTTCATTCTTGTAAGAACCATGGAGAAGCAAGAAGCAATAGTTCTGTATCCATCACCACCAATAGGCCACTTAGTGTCCATGGTTGAGTTAGGCAAACTCATCCTCTCCCAAAACCCATCTCTCTCCATCCACATCATCTTAGTCCCACCGCCATATCAGCCGGAATCAACCGCAACCTACATCTCCACCGTCTCCTCCTCCTTCCCTTCAATCACCTTCCACCGCCTCCCAACCGTTGAACCATACTCCTCCTCCACAACCTCACGAAACCACCACGAGTCACTCCTCCTGGAAACAATCTGTTTCAGCAACCCGAATGTCCACCGGGCTCTGTTCTCCATCTCTCAAACATTCAACCTCTGCGCCATGATCATTGACTTCTTCTGCACCGCCGTGTTAGAAGTCACTGCCGATTTTAATTTCCCGGTCTACTACTTCTTCACCTCGGGAGCCGCATGTCTCGCCTCCTTCTTCCATCTCTCAACTCTCCACGAAACAACAGCCGGAAAAAGCCTTAAAGACGTCCACTCGCTACTCACCATACCAGGCGTTCCTCCGATCAAAGGCTCCGATATGCCTAAACCGGTGCTAAACCGGGAAGACGAGATCTACGATGCTTTTATACAGTTCTCTAAGCAGCTCCGTAAATCTTCGGGGATCATTATCAACACGTTTGAGACATTAGAGAACAGAGCAATCAAGGCCATAAAAGAGGAGCTCTGTTTTCGCAATATCTATCCAATTGGGCCGCTCATTGTTAACGGAAGAGCCGGAAACAAGAATGTTGAATACGCAGATTCTTGTCTGAATTGGCTCGATTCGCAGCCGGAACAGAGTGTTGTGTTCCTCTGTTTCGGGAGCTTGGGTTTGTTCACGGAAGAACAGCTCAAGGAGATTGCTATTGGTTTAGAGAGAAGTGAGCAGAGATTCTTGTGGGTGGTTCGTAATCCACCCGGGATACAAAACCAAACAGAACCGGATTTGAAATCTCTTTTGCCGGAAGGATTTATAAATCGAACCGGAAACAAGGGAATGGTCGTCAAATCATGGGCTCCGCAAGTTCCTGTTCTGAATCACAAAGCAATTGGTGGATTCGTCACTCATTGCGGCTGGAATTCGATTCTTGAATCGGTTTGCGCCGGTAAGTTATATAAATACACCAATCAATTTATATTGCATAGAACGGTTTGGTGTGGTTTTAATTCGACTGGTTTACAAACAATAGGCGTACCGATGGTGGCCTGGCCGTTGTATGCTGAACAGAGATTTAACCGAGTGGTGATCGTGGAGGAGATCAAGATTGCGGTTCCGATGATTGAATCGGAGACGGGTTTCGTGAGCTCGATGGAGGTGGAGAAACGAGTCCGGGAGATAGTGGAGGATGGTCCGGTTAGGGAGAGAACCAAGGTCTTGAAGAATGTCGCTGAATCGGCCTTGACCAAAACCGGTTCGTCTCGTACTGCGTTGACTGCTTTACTCCAGTCTTGGAGTCCGAAACGATCTTCTGAGAGTTAAAGTGTTGATGATGTTATGTACGTTCATTTTAAAGTTCACAAACTATGTTTGACTTTTGTACTTTATGTCGTTGGAGACTTTAGTTGTACTTTCGAAACATGAGTGAGGGCGACAAAATTCTACCCAAATCGAAGTTGGGTCCTTTGTTTTAAAGAAGAAAGAACATGTGGTCATACGAACGTCTTAAAAGTTAAAACGTACTAATGTGATTTCCGCGATATTAATACACATGATATCATATATCTTTATACCTATAAAACACAAGTCAGTTGGTAATTCTGGGTCTGACATCTGTCATTTTATTTATTTTTTAAAAATTATTTTGAATTTTCTAATTTAAAATTTCTTTAATCAGTTATGAGTTTTTATCATTTCATTTTTTTTTTCTGATCTCACGATCCACTAATTTGAATTCATTAAATAGTGTGTAATCAAATTTTGATAACTGTCATTTAAATAGAATAAAAAACTGTTTAAAGATTTTAAATAAAAATAAAAACTTTGTTTTCACCATTATCTCTTTAAACAGTTAAATTACACGATCATCTTTTTAACCATTCAAAAAAAAATTACTTTCTAACTTCTTATCAAAATGGTAGAGACAACAGAAGTTATAGATATACTTTTTAGTCAATGTTATCATCATCATGTTCAGATCGTTGGAATAACTTCTCCACATGGAGAGTTTGTGACCGTGTTCATCAACTTCTCTCTTCTTCCTAAAGCCGAAGTGTTCTCCTCTTAATTATTGATTTCTCTTTTATACTTAAACTTGCTTAAGAAGTTTTCTATTTTTGTTTTTAAACATTTTGTTAGCTTAATTGTGATGTTTCAGGCGTTAAATATGAATCGCAATAACGTTCATCAGCCTCACCATATTGGAAGACAGAATTAACGGTATTTGGGTCATATGGTATTTAAATCTATTTGATTTTTGGATAGTTAATAGTAAAAATAAATTATTTTATTAAGAAACCTCCATTATGATGGTTTCGCAGAATCTGTAAAGAGGAACCAATTTGATCAAGTAGAAGATGAAGTTATGAGTTTAAAAACTTGTAAAGACAATCACTTTCTATGATTGTTTCTATTATGTAATAACAAAGTGTTCATCTTGTGATTGTACGATGCGAAGAATGGTTGTAAGAGTCTGGAAATGTCGAAAGAAGAAGCTTCTAAAACATGAAATATCGAAAGAAGTTGCATTTTTATTCTTCCCACAAAAACCTTTCAGCCAAAGTCCTCCTCAATAGCCTTTTCAGTAGTTCAATGTGTATGTAAAACAAGTTTGGTAAATAAGTGTTTCAATGTTCATCTCCAAAACTATTTTATATCTGTAATTTATTAGTTGTATATAATTGAAATTTAGTTTTATTTATAGATAAAATTAAATTTTCGTGCTTAACATGGGAGATAATACTAGTTACAACATAAAACGTTTAATGATCTAACAAAGTAAGCTTTCACGTTTTTATTTTTCGTCTTATGAATGATGTTATGGTAAAGATTGACTGTAATCTTGTTTTGCTTTTATTATCGAAGATAACTGAGCCTATTTCAGTAAGCTTTCTCGATAGTTTTGTATGGCAGGAACTCGAAATTCATTTTCAGAAAGATTACAAGGATTTGCAAAAATGCATTGGGCATTCTAAAAAATATGTCAACAAAGAAAACAATCTCTAACCCTATTCATGAAAAATCGGTGGGGTGTAATGTTGGCTCTTTTATATCCATCAATGTTTACAAATGGTATATCCTTTATTCTAAAAATTAAAATTATAATATCTTAAAAATTTAAGAAACAATTACAAAATTTTTTAAAAATAAATTTAAATAATTACCTATCAATTATGAATAGTGTTTAAGAGTATTTTAGAACATCTGCGGTAATCCTCTATGGAAAAATAATTGGTTAATTTCTGTTGAGTTTTAAATGCTGGGTTAAACCTTGTTAGATCTTTTATGTTTGAGATTAGGAATTCGACTTTGTATTTTAGTTAGTTTAGTTTTTCTGTATAAAATTATTTATTGATGTATCCTTCAAAGTTCTTAAAGATAATTTTTAGATGACAAAAAAAATAGTAAAACACTTAACAAGTTAACAATAACATATAACATAATATCCAAAATAGTGTCTTTATAAAAAAAATTAAGAAACTGGGAAAATCAAAATCCTAATTGATTTTTGGCCCAGAAAATCCAGAAATTAAATTGGAAAATGTAAGTAAACAATTAAGTTTCGAATGAAGCTAAACCCTAAAACCCTAGAGGAGCATTAGTAAGCAGCAGCAGCTTTCTAGAGTCTTCTCCTTCGTTTATTAAACTCCTCGACTCTTCTTCTCTCCACCGATCTCCATCACTCGTCCGAATTATCTTTCGTCATCGTTCATCTTCTTCCTTCTCAGTCACCATGTACCGTCTCGCTTCTAATCTCGCCTCCAAGGCAAGGTAAGAACTCACTTTCCTCGTCTTGTTGATTCAGTTTTCTGATGGGTTCATTTGAAAATTGGAAGGAGATGTGGGGAAGTGGATCGATTCGGGTTTTGATTAAATCTCCTTCATTTTCATCTGGGCTCTCTCTGAATCTGCTTGCTTTTAATCCCGATTTTAAGATTGATTTGGTTTTTCTCTCTTTTTCTCTGTTCTCAGGATTGCAAGCAACACACGACAGGTAACTTGAATTTGATTTTGCTGGGTTCTGTAACGAGATTTCTCTTTCGCCCTCTTTGGTAACTTTGATCTCTCGCGTGCTCAGGTTTCCAGCAGAATGAGCTGGAGCAGGAACTATGCAGCGAAAGAGATTAAGTTTGGAGTTGAAGCTCGGGCTTTGATGCTTAGAGGTGTTGAAGAGCTTGCCGATGCTGTTAAGGTCACTATGGGTCCCAAGGTACTCTTCTTTTTTTCTTCTTCCTACTCATTTTGATTTGATTTAGACCCGATTTCGCCGGAGGTTAATCTGTAATTGCAAAATCTGGAAATTTGTTCTTTATCCTATTGCTTCTGTTTTCTATCATGTCAGTGTCAATGTTACTGACGTTTCTGTGAATACTAACTTCGAAGGGACGTAACGTTGTGATTGAGCAAAGCTGGGGTGCTCCTAAAGTGACAAAAGATGGTGTCACAGTCGCCAAAAGCATTGAGTTCAAAGATAAAGTGAAGAACGTTGGTGCCAGTCTCGTGAAGCAGGTCGCAAACGCTACTAATGATGTTGCTGGTGATGGTAAGATCATTCGCTTTGATGGAAACTTTATAGTAGTAGAAACTTTACAAGACTATTTACCTAAACTTTCCTAACTTGTGTCCTGCAGGTACCACTTGTGCTACTGTTCTCACACGTGCAATATTCACCGAAGGTTGCAAATCAGTCGCCGCGGGAATGAATGCGATGGACCTAAGGCGAGGTATCTCCATGGCGGTGGATGCTGTGGTGACGAACCTTAAGAGCAGGGCTAGGATGATCAGCACATCCGAAGAGATTGCTCAGGTCGGGACCATTTCTGCGAACGGAGAGAGGGAGATCGGTGAACTGATCGCTAAGGCTATGGAGAGGGTAGGCAAAGAAGGTGTAATCACGATCGAAGTAAGTGAATGAGCCGAAATGTTTGCTCATGGTTGCTGATTTAGATTGGTCAAACCATAACGCTTACGCTGGTGAAAATGCATTTGCAGGATGGAAAGACGTTGATTAACGAGTTGGAAGTTGTAGAGGGGATGAAATTGGACAGAGGTTACACGTCCCCATACTTTATCACCAATCAGAAAACCCAAAAATGTGTAAGTTTATTATTACTCCCACTACTCGATCAAGTTACTTGTTTGGTCATATCAGTTATATAATTTACAGAATTGTGATTCTATCTATGTAGGAATTGGATGAGCCTCTCATTCTTATCCATGAGAAGAAGATCTCCAGCATCAACTCCATTGTGAAAGTGTTGGAGTTGGCTCTGAAGGTATGTATGCTTTATCTTCATTTACTAAATTTTGGAATCATTTTCTCTCGAAAATTCGGTGAGAAAGGCATCTAATGTGGTTTATTTTATTTATCCTTTTTTTTTTCAAAAAAAAACTTACAGAGACAAAGACCACTATTGATTGTTTCTGAAGATATTGAAAGTGAAGCTCTTGCAACTCTTATCCTTAACAAGCTACGTGCCGGAATCAAGGTTTGAACAACTGACCTATCGTCCCCTGACTTTGAGTGATAATATTTGCTTTTGAGACTGATAGTTTCCTCTCTGTAGGTTTGTGCCATCAAGGCTCCTGGGTTTGGAGAGAATAGGAAGGCAAATTTGCAAGACCTTGCTGCCCTTACTGGTGGAGAGGTAGTACATTTGTTGAGTAATGTGTCTAGTCTTGTGAACCCTAATATATACACTACGAGAGTATTGACTTGGCTTGATACAGGTTATCACGGATGAGCTTGGAATGAACCTGGAGAAGGTGGACCTCGGCATGCTAGGAACCTGCAAAAAGGTAGTCTTTGAAAGCTCTTAGTATGAAGTTTGATTGACTATAGCATTTTCAGCATATCCTTATTGGTTGAGATTTATATCGCTATTTGTAGGTTACAATCTCCAAGGACGACACCGTTATTCTTGATGGAGCTGGCGACAAGAAAGCCATCGAGGAGAGATGTGACCAGGTTGGTTTTGTTCCTTAAGCCCTGATAAACTCAGTTGGTAGAATTTGTTTGGAGGAAGATGGTGTGAAAAAAAGCCATCGTCCCAATTCTAACTGCTTTGTATTGCAACAAACAGATTCGGTCAGCGATGGAGCTGAGCACCTCAGCGTACGACATTGAGAAACTGCAAGAAAGGTTGGCTAAGCTCTCTGGAGGTGTTGCAGTCTTGAAGGTTAGTCATGTTTAAGAGCTTCTGTAGTGTAAGAATCATAACCAGCTTGGTTTTGTTATAAACTCTGATGGGCTTGTTGGGTATTATAGATTGGAGGAGCAAGTGAAGCTGAAGTTGGTGAGAAGAAAGACAGAGTGACAGATG